TCAAGGCTCCAGCAACCTTGTGTGGCTAATGCTTTCTTAAAGATTATTGACAATGATTCCTGAAGTTTTTCCAGTATGATTTGCTTGAACCCAGATCACTTGAATTAATTCAGAGGGGAAGATCAACCAAAAGCTCAGACCCTAAGTTGGTGGTAGCTCTGCTGTTCTTCCCATTCTGGGGACAGTCTGTGTTATTCACCCCTTTGCTTTTGTCTAGTTGACCTTGACTTCTTAAAGGGCTGTTTGGCTGGCATGGGAGACAGTGGCCCAGCCTTTGGGGCACTGTTGCGTCATGGTTAGAAGCCTGCCTGGATTCAGACAGGCCTGAGTTCTGTCACATTTCACCTCTGCCACCAGTTAGCAGTATGACTTGGAAACTTAACTAGCTTTGCCAAGCTTCCTTTTCCTCACCTGCAAAATGGGAGTCTCTTCCCTCAGTTGAGGATTAAATGAAGCCTTTAATGAGATGCCTGGCCCTTGGTAACTGTCCCTTCCATGTGGCCATTATTATCTCTTACAGTTTGCTGGGCGGAGCTATAGTGAGCACACTGGGAAACCCAGACAGAAGGTTTGAGCTCCTAGGGCACAGCAGAGGCACTGGGCACAGATACCCTGTTTCAAGAGATGCTGGGCACTCCTTGAAGGCCGGGGTGGAGTGTTTTGACCTTTGGCCTAGTAGGAACAAGAAAAAGCATTCCCTTCCTTTGTGCCCAGACAAGACCTCAGTGAATTATAGATGATGGCAGATTTCTTAGGCAGCCTACATAGAATGAAGGAGGAGATACCTGTCTCCTTCCTGACCTGAAGGAGGGCCCCAGGGGGCCTCAAGCTGCCATCCTGATGGGAGAGCAGGGGTTGGTCTCCAGAAGTGAGTGACAGAAGAGGTAGGGGGCACGCACTCTCAGGGCTGGGTCCTGCCCCCCTGGATACAAGGCCATAAGGCTTTGGAGATTTCCTCAGCCTGTTCTACATCCCCACCTCAGGGCGGTGGCTTCCCTGAGAGCTAGTCCCTCTACTGCTCCTGAGGGTGGGGCTCTGGCAGGAGGCCAGGCAGGCAGGAAACCAGAGCTGAGATTCTTTCCATTGCCATTCCTGGGCTGGGGCTGCACTCAGCAGGTGTTGCGAGGAACACAGGTGAGTGCATTGGACTTCTGTGGCCTGAGGCTCTGTCCTCTTGCAGAATGCGAACTGTGCAATTGTCGAACTGTGCAATTGTCGGCTGCATGAGAGTGACTGAGTGAATGTTTAGGAGCTGGGGAAGGCAGGGTTTCTCCTGGGGCCCTGTGGAAAGTCAGTGAGGTGGGGCATGGGTGGGAGTAAGGAAGGGGTGCCCAGGATTAAAAGCCATCTTCCCTAATTACTTTTCACCCTAGTTAGGGGTAAGGGCATGAGGGGTGGTTAGGGGCGGGGGATCAGAATGCTGGGGTCTTAGGCTGAGATGGCTCTTGCAAGAGCTTCGGTAACGGGTAAAATTGTGGGGGATGGAGGGATTGTATTCTTGAAACCACGCTGGGGGACCCAGCAAATGCTGAGACCCCTGAGTGGTATCTGTGTTTTTCTCCCCTAGGATCACCATGCTTGCCAGAGGCCCAGGTGGAGGAGTGAGGCATGAAAGTCTCAGCATCCATGAGTGCTTGATGCCATCCTCTCCCCAGCCCTTCCTGGGGCAAGCATGGGGTGGGTGTGGCCACTCCTCCCTCACAATGACACTGGCCACAGTGGTAGCATTGGCCATTCTCAGGAATCTGGTGGCAGCGTGCCCAGCACCGTGCACCTGCCCGACTGCAGGCAGCATGGTGGACTGTGGGGGCCTCCACCTGCTCAGCCTTCCTCCCAGGCTCCCTGATGGAGTTTGGCTCCTGGAGCTGAGCCACAATAATCTCAGCCACCTGCCAGCTGGCGCTTTCCAAGGCCTCTGGAGATTGTGAGTGCTGCTGCTTTCTCACAATATCCTGCAAAATCTCAGTGGTGGGGCCCTAGGGGACCTGAGTTTGCTGGAGCAGCTGGACCTCCGCCACAACCAGCTGACCCTCTTGCCCCCAGACTTCTCGGCCACTCTGGGCTCTTTGCTCCGCCTCGACCTCTCTCACAACCTACTCATCACCCTGGAGGCCAGCAGCCTGTGGGGCCTGGGGAGCCTGGAGCAGCTCGATCTGAGCCACAATCAGCTGGCTGAGCTCTTCACAGGGGGGTTCGGTGGCCTCTTCCACCTATGTAGGCTCTTGCTGGCTGGGAACTGGCTGCAGCGGGTGGAGGGCACTGCCCTGGTTACCATGCCATGCTTGGAAGTCCTCTCTCTGGCTGGGAACAACATCAGTGAGCTGGAGGCTGAGGCGTTTGCAGGCTTGTGGGCACTGGGCCTCCTCTCTCTTGTGGGCAACCGACTGCAACACTTTGAGTTCAAGGCAGTGGCCGCCATCCAGACAGCAGGCACAGGGCTGCTGCTGGCCAACAACCCCTCGACATGCAATTGTGACCTGCAGTGAGCCCTCAGGAAGCTGGATGACCTGTGGCACTTGCATGTGGTCGACCTGGGCAACTGGACATGCGCTGGTCCTGGAGGGCTGGTGGGAGCGGTGCTGAGCAGCGTGGAGGCCTGGCTCTGCCTGGCTGAGACAGCCTCCGTGCTGGGCATCACAGGCACCATGCTGCTCACCGTGGCTGTGGTTACGGCTGAGCGTAAACGCAGGCAGGGCCCTGGAGAGGCTGGGGAGCTGGTGAGCTCCCTGGAGAGGTGAGGGGTGCTACAGAGGGAGATCAAGGCAGCTGAAGGAAGTAAAGCTGAGGGAGCTATGGAGAGGAAAAGAAGTTCCTCAGAAGTCTGTGGGGCTCAGGTGTCTGCCAGGCAGGGGTGGGAGGAATGGGGGCAGCAGGAACAAATGGCTGTGTTCATTTCTCAGAACATGGGCCGCCCACCTGTCCTCCTCTGACTGAGCACGATGCCAGCATCTATCCCAACTAAACACTAGGATTTGGCCCCTAGTTCTTCCCTTTTCAATATCCCTCTGGCAAAGAGGGCAGTAAAAGGTAGAGAGGGACTTCAACCCAGAGGAATTGGGGTTCCGTGGGTACCAAGGAAAGCTTCCTTAATCCCAATCCCCATTTCCCTCCTCACACATGTCCCTGGCCTCTGCTGATGGAGACTTGATTGGAAACTGGTTGCTAAGGTTACAATGGGAGGGTGGGGCATTGTGCCTGTGGGCACAGCCCAGGCAGACTCCTAGGACTATTTTATGGACATACTGTACTCAGTCCTTGTTCTGGTCCTCAACTCTTTAGGGCTGTGCATCTTGTCCATTTAAATCAGAGCTGGGTGAGGAGACTTGAAAAATAAAACCAATCGGAAAGTTGGTTCTGTACTATGTGCCTGTATTGTGGTGAAGAAAACTTGCTCTGTGTGGTTGTTACTAGAGGGCAGAGGTGGTCACAATGACCTTTAACCCAGACTTTTTTTCATTTCCCTTGCCTAGAGATCTCCCCATCCCCAACACACACTTGCACAATCCCATTCCTTAGTTCTTTGCACTGATATATCCTCTGTCACACTCCTTCTGATATACCCAGGCCATATCCTAATGAGTTTGTTAAAAATGAAAAGTGAAAATGTGTTTTATTGTTCAGCTTTCACTGGCTCATTAGGAATTTTTAAGTTCATGTGGTCAGAAAGGCTGTTTGGACATGAGCCTCTTCTCCCTTCCCCGCAGAGCTGGAAGCAGACTTTCTGAATTAAATGACCTATTGAGAGTGTTTGCAGGGTCTTAACTTCAATATTGGAAGGTGAATCCATGTGTTAATGGGTTTATGTGCACAGGAAGGTAGGTGGTGGCATCTTTGTGGTGACAACCCCAAAGTGCCCAGAACTTTTCCTCATTTGTTCAGTATATATTTACTGAACACCTTACCATGAACTAGACACAGTGACAACACCTTTTGTTCATTTATTTGAGCAGCACTTATTTGCTGAATGCATCCTGTATACTAGTCCCCAAGGATCTACAGATGGTCCCTGACTTAGGATGTTTCACCTTAGGATTTTTCAACTTTATGATGGTGTGAAAGTGATCTGCATTCATTAGAAACCATATTCTTGCAAAGCTGGGCAGCAGCAGTGAGCTGCATTTTTAACTTAATATATTTTTACCTGATGATGGATGTATGGGGATGTAACCCCATTGTAAGTCAAGGAACATCAGTAAACAGAAACCGAACACTGTCTTTGTTCTCTCAGAGCTCACAATCTAGTGGGGGAAGATTGTCATTAATAAAAGAATCACAAATATCTAATTGCCATTGTGCTAAGTGATTCAAAGAAAGAGTAGCTGATGTTATGAGATGAGAATAGACTCCGAAGGTGAGTGGCGGAGACCAGCTGGAAGGCTGCTGCAGTCACACTGACAAAAGATGGTAGCTTGGGCTAGAGCAGGAGACCGGGAACTGGAGGAAATGGACTGACTTGAGATGTCCCAAATGTCTACATTAGATCTCCCTCTTCTCTCAGGCCACGAACAAAAGGCAGACCAAGACCAAACAGTGACTGAGCCAGGAAGACCCCTTCCTTTGAACTTAACAGAAGAAGGGGGATTTCCTCTGGGGTGTGTGTACCATTTATTGAACCTCTACTATGTGCTAGGACCAACCTTGTCACATTTAAACGTCACAGCAATTCTGAGGTAGATGTCATTAGTCCCATTGCACGATGAGTCTTGGAAAGTTTAGGCGATGAGCCCAAAATCACAGGGTTGGAGTTGGGATTAGAGCCCTGGCTGCACTCAAAAACTAGTTTGCTTCAGTATATCAAGCTACAGTCCAAGAGTTCTGATGTTCTGACCCCATTGTTCCTTCCCTCTAGTCTAGTTTTCAATTTTGCAGGTACAAGGAGAAGCCCTTAAGTCTCCATGGACAAAGGAGAAGGCTGAACTTCGCAGCGAGAATACTTCCTTCGGTCCGGAACTAGAGAGGGACAGCGTTGTTTCCGGACGGAAGGGGGCGGGGGGAAGGCTACAGGTCCGGAAGTTACGTGTCCCATCCCCGCGCCGGCCTCCCTGACGGGGGTGAGGCCGCAGCGGACTGCCCTTTCCCAAAATGGCGTCGAAAATAGGTTCGAGACGGTGGATGCTCCAGCTGATCATGCAGTTGGGTTCGGTGCTGCTCACACGCTGCCCCTTTTGGGGTTGCTTCAGCCAACTCATGCTGTACGCTGAAAGGGCTGAGGCACGCCGGTGAGCAGGTCCACGCAGCCGCCGTACGCGGTTGGGGGCGGTACGGCTCGTCCTAGGAACCGGGGTGCGGTGACGTGGGGCAGAAGTTGGGAGCCAGAAGTTGGGGTCCTTGGACTGGGAGGAATTGGGACCTCGTCGGGAGGGGCCCTGGTCCGGGCATTGGGCCAGATCTGGTGGGGCGGTCCTAGCCATGAGAGGGGGCTTCTGTTTGGGGGAGCGTGGAGCTTGCGGGAACTCTAGGGCTCTTCTTCCCCTTCATTCTGTCCTCCTTGCTTCCCCACTCCCGGCTCGCAGGAAGCCCGACATCCCAGTGCCCTACCTGTATTTCGACATGGGGGCGGCCGTGCTGTGTGCTAGCTTCATGTCCTTTGGAGTGAAGCGGCGCTGGTTCGCGCTGGGGGCCGCACTCCAGCTGGCCATTAGCACCTACGCCGCCTACATCGGGGGCTACGTCCACTACGGGGACTGGCTAAAGGTGAGCGCCTCGGCCCTAGAAGGGGCTTCGCTATGGGTGATGGGGAGTCAAAGGCCAAAGCTCAGAGTGGTTGGTGGGTGATGCATGGTTCTGGCCAGGTGCACATTGTGAAGCCTGGGAGGGCCGAACCCCTAGGCTTGTAGCCATTAGAGACCGCAGAAATGGAAGGATCTTAGCGACCACACAAACCTCCCTTCCAGAGTGTGGAAACTGAGGTCCAGAGATAGGAAACACTTTCCCAGAGTCACACCGCAGTTAGCATACTGGCGGGACCAGAAGTCACCTGGTTCCCAGAATCTGTTAAACCATTAGTTTAGGGCTGGGTGGGGTGGCTCACGCCTGTAATTCTAGCACTCTGGGAGGCCGAGGTGGGAACTCAGGAGTTCGAGACCAGCCTGAGTAAGAGCAAGACCCTGTCTCTACTAAAAATAGAAAAATTAGCTGTGCGTGCTGGTGTGTGCCTGTAGTCCCAGCTACTCGGGAGGCTGATGCAGAAGGATCGCTTGAGCCCAGGAGTTTGAGGTTGCTGTGAGCTAGGCTGATGCCACTGCACTCTAGCCTGGGCAACAGAGTGAGACTCTGTCTCAAAAACAAACAAACAAACAAAACCATTAGTTTAGTAATTCCAGATTCACAGGGCAAAAGGGACCTTGGAGAGTACCCAGTTTTCATAAAATCATCTGATTTTATGAAATTTAATTAATCTTAGTGTAGCATTTAAACCTGTAAATGCCAGAACCTGTGCCAGGCACTGCAGGCTTGCAGATAGGGTTGGACAAAAGCACTACCCTCAAGGAAGGGACTGTGAGTCCAATAGGGGAGGCAGATGTGTGAACAGCTACAGGTCAGTGAGATCCGTGGGTTTTTATTTATTTATTTATTTTTGAAACAGGGTCTCACTCTGTCACCCAGGCTGGAGTGCAGTGGCAAGATCATAGCTCACTACAACCTCAAACTCCTGGGCTCAAGTGATCCTCCTACCTCAGCCTCCCAAGTAGCTGAAACTACAGGCACACACTACCTCGTCTGGCTAATATTTTTAAAATTTTTTGTAGAGACAGGGTCTTACCATGTTGCCCAGGTTGGTCTCAAACTCCTGGCCTCAAGTGATCCTCCTGCCACGGCCTCCCAAACTGCTGGGATTACAGGCTTGAGCCACTGCTCCTGGTCCTGGTTTTTGTTGTTGTGTTTTAATGGAATAAACCACATACTATATAGAGGAAAGAACACCAGGAGGAGAGTCTGCAGACTTGGGGGTTGGGAGGGGGACAATGCATGATGTCTGGGTTCTGCCACTTACTTTCTGTAGGACCTTGGAGAATTTTCTTAACCCCCCTGGGCCTCAGTTTCCACTTCTGTAAAAAAGAATTATCTATCTCTGCTGTACCTGCCCACCAAGCTTGGAAATGGTAAGAGGGTTCATCAGATGGAATGGGATTTGTAGAGATGGCAGTTCTACACTCTGAGCAGCCAGGAGAAATGTGGTGGCTGCAGTTCCTGACTGGGGTCCCCTTGCCCTGGCCTAGGTCCGTATGTACTCGCGCACAGTTGCCATCATTGGCGGCTTTCTTGTGCTTGCCAGCGGTGCTGGGGAGCTGTACCGTCGGAAACCCCGCAGCCGCTCCCTGCAATCCACCGGCCAGGTGTTCCTGGGCATCTACCTCATCTGCGTGGTAGGTTGGGGGACTGTTGGTTGGAGGTGCCTGGCTGGGAGTGAAATGTGAGCCAGGCCCAGTAGAACCGCAGGAAGGTGGGTAGAACAAGGCCTTGTATGTAGTTGCTGAAGGCCTGGCTCCTGGCAATTGTGTGGCCACCTTCCAGGCCTCAGGGGCCTTCCAAATGCCTGGCTAAGAGCCTCTTCTTCCAACATTATCACCACCAGGTAAAGAGGAAATTGGATTGATCATTCAGTCCTAACCCTGAGAGCCAAGAGTACAAGATGGGGTGATTCTCTCTTGGCTCCAGCCCCCAGAGGGCTGCGAGAAGGGACAAAGGAGAAGTTTGGTAGGGGTCTGGCCCCAGCTGGGACTCGGCCCCGTAAGGCTGATGGCGGCTGCCTGGGGTAGCCAGTTACAGTCCTCCCTGGTGCTAGGGGAGGCCAGTGTGGATGGAAACATGGACAGGCCCCAGGCCACTGAGCCTGATCTTAGTTACTGGGTATTGTATGTCGTGTGTAGAGCTCTGTGTGGGCTTTCATAGTATATTCAGAGGTGGGAGCTCCAGTCTGACTGTGGAGACACACTATTTCCCTTCAAAGCCCCCAGGGTGAGGGGAGATAGAATCCCTAACCTCCTGGGCCTCCATAGTCTGAGGGGGAGACAAAGGCCCTTCTTTGTCTTTCAGAGAGTCCCCAGTCTGAGCAGGGGGTCAGAAGCCCACCTTGCAGGGGCTGACTTGCAGGTGCCATCTCAGGGGTGGCCTTCCCCAGATGGGCTTCTCAGCCTTTTGGAGAGTCTTAGAGGATGGTGTGTCTCCAGGCCTACTCGCTGCAGCACAGCAAGGAGGACCGGCTGGCGTATCTGAACCATCTCCCAGGAGGGGAGCTGATGATCCAGCTGTTCTTCGTGCTGTACGGCGTCCTGGCCCTGGCCTTCCTGTCGGGCTACTACGTGACCCTGGCTGCCCAGATCCTGGCTGTCCTGCTGCCCCCGGTCATGCTGCTCATTGATGGCAATGTTGCCTACTGGCACAACACGCGGCGTGTTGAGTTCTGGAACCAGATGAAACTCCTTGGAGAGAGTGTGGGCATCTTTGGGGCTGTTGTCATCCTGGCCACTGATGGCTGAGTTGCATGGTCAGAGGCTGAGATGGGCACAGGGAGCCACTGAGGCCCACCCTGCCTTCCTCCTTGCTGGCCCAGTTGCTGTTTATTTATGCTTTTTGGTCTGTTTGTTTGCTTTTTTTTTTTTTAATTATTTTTTTGCATTGTTAAGAGGCAGGTCTTTTCCCTAAATTCCTGGGCTCAACCCTTGGGAGGGTGGGAGCCCTGGCGCTAATGCCTCACAGATTTTTTTTCCAGTTTGTTAGGAGAGCTGAGGCCAGTTGCTCCCTGGGTCTCCTGTCCTGAGAAGGGAGTAAGGCGGGCAGGGCTGTGGGTACTAAGAGTGGGAGATGAAGGAAGGAAGATGGAGACCGGAAATGAGCAAATGTGAAAAATTCCTTTTCGAACCTGGCAGATGCAGCTAGGCTCTGCAGTGCTTCCCAGAGATCGCGAGTGAGATGTGTGTTGACACACGTGCCTCAGGCCCGAGAGGAGCAGAGGGCCCAGGCGCCACAGAAGTCACGTGGGTTCTCAGGGTATGCCAGGGGCAGAAACAGTACCAGCTCTCTGTCACCCACCTTGAGAGCAGAGCAGGCCCTGGTCTGCTGTGGGCTATGCAGGGGTGGAGCAGGCAGCGGCCAGCTTCTCCCCCGCTGCTGCCTGTTTCCAGCTCCGTGGTTGGCCTGGTAGGGGTGGAGTGCCCTCCCAAACACCAGACCACACAGTCCTCCAAAAATAAACATTTTATATAGATATTTGATTTTGCTTTTCTGTTCTCCCCACGGGACACTTTGCCATTGGTTGAGATTGATCTTGGGTTTCTTGAAAGACCGTATCTGGTTAAGCCCCACCTTGGTCCTCCTGTCTCCTTTCTCCTGTTCCTAGATTCCCCACAGATCTTTCGTTCTCTTTTTAAGAATGTCAAAATCCTCACAGTATTATATGCTTTTAATCTCTCATCCCAGCCCCTCTTGTAGCTTGTGTTTTCCTCCCCATTTGGAGCTAGTTCTTTTGAAGAAATCTCTGGTGAGAGCAGCTGGAGAGAGAGAACCAACATTAAGTGTCCAGTATGGAGCTGAGTATTTTACATTTTACACGTGAGGAAACAGAGGCTCAGAGAAGGTAAGCAGCTTGCCTCAAGCCACAGAGCAAATCCAGGCCAGCACAGCTGGATTCCAGGTCAGGCTGGTCTAATGCCCAAGCCCAGATGTGTACTCAACATGACCCATTCCCTGGGGGAAGACAGAGGCTGCTCTTGGGGCCTCAGTTCTGCCACTGCCCCTCTGTGCCTCAGTGGTCTTTTCATTGGCCATCTCCCTGCGTGTCCATGCACCTTCTGCCAGAAAGCAGCAGCAGCAGCAGCCAGTGTGGTGCCTGGCACAACGTGGGCCTTCAAAAAAATGTCTGAGGGAAACTCCAGGCTCTGGACTCCTGCCCATCTGAGGTGTGCTGGTCCTGCAGAGACTGGACACAACCTCTATGGTAGAGCCTGGGGGAAACATCCAAGTTTGGGCTTTTAAACCAAAGCCATCTTGTGGCTTCTCTGGGCTCTTGCGAGTGAAAGATGAGCCACAGCTGTGTGGGCTTGGCCCTGAGCCCAGCCTGGAAAGGGAGCCATGGGTCGAGGCATCCACAGGGAAGGAGCTGGGGCTGCTGTCGCCTGGTCTGTGGCATGGTGTAGGGATGGGAAGCCCCTCAGGGCTGCTGACCCCCAGGTGAGGGAGACGGTGGCAGCGTTTCATCCTGGGCCCTCCATCTCATTAGCAACTCTACTCTCTCCAGGAGCCCCCTGATTCCCCAGCCCTCGAGATCTTACTTCTAAAAGGTCACTCCTAATTTCCTTTCAAGTGTGAGCTGACTCTTAGACAAGTATTTGTGTTTTAATCAAGGCCTCCTGAAAAATTGCTGCAAGACCCAAAGGAATTAAAATGAGTGGTAGAATATCAGGCAGGAAGGGGTGATATTTCGGGTAAGGGAGCCTGAAAACGCAGCACAGAGGCCACAGAAAACTGACCCCACCCTTGAGGTTACCCCTGAGTAGAGCCCTGGAAGGTGGTGCCCCACCCCACCCCCCATTCCCAGGTTGAAAATTGAAGGCTATCTGGTTGCTGCTTTGGGGCAAGTCAGGAGATTAGGCTGGCACCCCTCCTTCCTGTGCTTGTCACACTGGGGGACCCCTTTGGGTAGAGCGGAGGCTGCTGCTTCCTCTACAGATCACTCAGCCAACAAGCCCCATCCATCCTGTGGCTGCATGGGGTCACCCTCAGCAGGCATGGCTTTTGGTTCACCCTGGCTGTCCCAGGGCCAGGGTGGGGGTCTGTAGTGAGGGTCAGCTGCCTGGGTCAGAAGCTGGCTTGCAGAAGGAGTCTGGCAGCCCCTTGGCATGGTTGACCAACTCATAGGAGTCCCGGATATCTGCCAGGCCAAACCAGAAGAAGATCCACTGCTTGTTGGAGAAGCTGCCATCACTGTGTTTGAAGTACCTGGGTCAGGGGCAGTGAAAGGAGGGCAGCTTTTAGAGCAAAGCCAGTGCTCACTACTCACTGATTCTGTTTTTTAATTTTTATTTTTTTTTGAGACAGGGTCTTGCTCTGTCACCCAGGCTAGAGTGCAGTGGTGTCATCATAACTCACTGCAACCTCAAACTCCTGGGCTCAAGCAATCCTCCCACCTTGGCCTCCCAGAGTGCTACAATTACAGGTGTGAGCCACCATACCTGGCACTGATTCTGTTTTCAAAAAACATTTATTGGCCGGG